GCAAGGGGACATATGTCCCCTTAAGGGACTGTTTAATTGTTTTCTTTCATCTTAGGCCACATAAGTTTATCTTTAGAGGCCAGACTCCTCAGAGGCAAGGACTGTCTTCAACTTCTGGGAGGCAGTAGAGCGGGGGTTAAAATTACAGGTTCTGGGGGCCCGCCTGGTGGCGCAGTGGTTAAGTGTGCGGGCGGCCTGGGGTTCGCCGGTTCGGATCCCGGGCGAACACCCACGCACCGCTTGGCAAGCCATGCTGTGGCCGTGTCCCATATAAAGTGGAGGAAGATGGGCACGGATGTTAGCCCAGGGCCAGTTTTCCTCAGAAAAAAGAGGAGGATTGGCATCGGATGTTAGCTCAGGGCTAATCTTCCTCTCTCTCTCTCTCACACGCACACACACACACACACAATTACAGGCTCTGGCACACAGAGAATTGGCATAAAAACTGTGCTGTGTGACCTGGTGCAAGTTACTTAGGCTCTCGGAGCCTTCACTTTTTCAACTATGATAATGATGAGAGGACTAGATAAGATGACTCTGCCCTGAGTTTAACCCTATGCCAGGCACAAGGTATGTACCCCTTCCATAAGTGGGGACTACTATCATTCCAACTGTACTGAGAGCCCACTGTGTGTGCACACAGTATGACAGACCCAGGCACCCTTTCAAACTTAATTCTGATGCAGGGTTAGGGATCTCAAGCACCTAACTGAAGCGAATTGGCATAGTAGGTGATCCAAATCCGTATAGTTGTACAAATCACTCTTCCTGGGTTGGGATCCCCCTTTCTCTTTATGGGAAACCAGCCTTCCAAAGGCCTGGCTCATCACCATCTCTTTTTCAGGTGAAGTGTGGCATTTCTGAGTAGTCAGTCATTTTGAGACTAACAGAATTGCCAGCTGCTCCTCTGGGCCTATTTGGTCTGAGTTTGAGCCGATACACAGGGAGACTGCCATATGGCTTTTCTCAGGGCTGATAGGAATGACTCATCATAGGGTCACCGATGCCCTTGAGCTGCCCAGAGCAGAGTGACTCACTGGATGTGCCCTGGGCCTGGCTCCACAGCTGCCTGACCTCCGCCTCTCTCCAGGGAATGTCCTCAGACCCTGAGACTCTCTGTCAGAAGAGGGGGCTTCCCCATTCCTAGATGACTCAGTGTTGGAAGAGAACCAAGAAATCCCTTATTCCAACCCCCCTCATCTCACAGATAAAGGGAGCCCAGGGGTGGAAACAGGCTTGCTCATACCATCTAGCTTGTTGTAGAACCTGGATTTGAACCTGGGACCAGAGGGCCTTCTGTGGTACCCTCCTGGCTGCCACAAATCCCACCTCTTGGCCTTTTCCTTCCCCACAGGGAACTCACTGTCTGCTGTAGGCTCCAGGTCCTAAATATTCTGAGGAATGGATTCCATGGCTTTTTGCGGGGACGGTTACCTACCTCTTTGAGAGAACATCCCTGTCATCTTGTTCCCAGAAAGGGCAGAATGGTCTGTTGGAGCTTACGGTCCGCACTCACCATAATGTCAATAAACGATGTAAAAGTTTGTTTACTTTTCTGTTAACAGAGGCATTCCTTTCCTATCTAACTCAAATTTTGTAAAGAAACAAAAATATAGGCCAACAAGTATTAAGGGGTAAATAATTCTCTAGCAGAACAATGGAGCAATCCATGACTTCAAGGGATGGAATCCACACCAGCCTTGGGAGATGGGACTTGGCATGAGAGCCTGGGTAACAGGGAAGTCTGAGCTGGAAGAAGAGGGGAGGGCGAGGAAGAGGCAGGGAAATGAGTGCTCTGAGGCAGGCCCCGGAGTGGAACAAAGTGGGAAACCGGGGGAGTAGGTCTGTGGTGTCCCCTAGCCCCCTTGCATCATCCCACCCCAATCACCAAACCCAGGTCCTTGTGTGGAACAGAATGCCCTCATGGAGCTCAGGATGGGATTCTGGATCTACCCGCCCCTCTCCCCTCCCCGGCTGCAACTTCACTTCAACCAAAATTCCCTATCTGGTGTTCAGGTGTCATTGGTTGGCAGGGTTTTGATGAGTTGCCTTTTCGGGGGGGCGGGGGGGGGCGGGGGACACATTCATTTCAAACAGGGACTCTGGAGTCTCTGGGTTGGCCTCCATGGAGGGGGCGAGTGGGGTGGGATGGAATAAGACATAAGCTACTGAGAGACAGAGGGTCATTGAAAGACAGATCCCAGACTGGAAAAAAAAAATGAGAAGAGCTTGCAGCGTCTTTCCTTTTGGGAAGGAACAAAGTCTTATTCAGTCTCTCCATAGATTCCACTCCTCCAGAGATGGGATTTCCCTTGTTTTACAGATGCAGAAACTGAGGCCCAAAGCACCAAGCCCAGGGACAAAGCTGGGCCCGCTGCTCCGAGGAGCCAGACGAAAGGGGCCAGGAGCTAGGGCGAGGGCACGTGGGTGTGAGGGAGGGGAGGCCTCCAGCCCACCCCGTGCAAGCTCTGGCAGATCGGCCCTGCAGGCTGCCACAGGTGGCCGTGGGCAGCCTTCAGATCTCCCGTCAGCGCTGGGAGGGGGCTGGGGCCAGGGCCAGAGGAGGCAGCAGGCCAGAGACGGGATTTCAAGTCCCGTGAAACAGAAATGACTCAGGCTGGGTGGCTCCGCAGGCCCGCCCAGCCCACATTCCGGGCCTTTGTTCCCGGCCCGCCTGGCCCGGCCTTAAAGGGCCACCTCCTTGAGGCAGGAGGAGGGCCGTCCTATCTCCACTCCCACCTCCTCTTCTACCCTGACCCCTCGTTGGGTTGCTCCTTGTTTCCAGGCTGTGCATAAAAAAGGTGGCATCCTGCAAGATTTAGGGGTTCATCCAACCGAATCCTCAAGCTACAAGGGAGGGCTCTCAGGTCACTTCATCCATCCCTCCGCCTCAGGATACGGCTGCACCTAAACTGGCCCAGAGGATTAAGAAACCCCTTTCCCTGCTTTTGAAAGATGCAACCACGAAAGGACCCCTTTCAAAGCACTTCTTCCAGGTCTCAGCCACCTCCCTTCTAACCGCCATCCCCCACGCCGCAGCTTGTGCTGGAGGCCCCCCCGGGTTCCCCTCCTTCATTATCTCTCCGGCCCACCCTGGGCCCGCTTCAGGATTGGATCGTTCTTGAACTCTCCTTTAACACACGTATCTGGCGAGTTTTAGGCTGGCCTATCCAGACTTGTGAACCAGGCTCCCTGTCCTGGGCCTTCGGGGGGTCCAGGTTTCACACCAATCCTGTCCTGTCGGTGGATTCCTCAGGGGAGACACACCATCCTGCCGCAGCGCAGCCACGGCGCCCACGCACCTTCTTGGGACCTCAAGCGCCACCATGTGGACACTCTGGAGATAGGGTGCCTTCAGGAGCTTGGAGGGGGCACCCTGCAGAGCTTCCGCCACCACCATACGGGACCCTGAAGAAGTGTCCTCAGTTATAAAGCAGTCCTAAATTAGAGTGATCACAAATCAAAATAAAAGTACAGATCAAAATAAAAGCAGGCCCTAAATTAGAGAGGAAAGGAAGAGGCCTGCACCTTTCTATATTCATTGCGAGTCCCACATCCTCTGTGCAACAATGGCTCTCAGATGGCTTTAACAGCCTATCAACTCTCTTAACACAGAGAGCGATATTTTATGTGGAGCCTTGGGAAGGTCTCTGTGCCCCGAGTACCCACCCCTTCTACCCCACAGCCCCTCACACACTATTTGGTGGATGCTCAAAACACCCCACCAGAGGGGCCAGCCGGGTGATGTACCGGTTGAGTTCACGTGCCCTGCTTCAGCAGCCCGGGGTTCACAGGTTCGAATCCTGGGCACTGATCTACGCATTGCTCATCGAGCCATGCTGTGGTGGCGTCTCACATACAAAGTAGAGGAAGATGGGCACAGATGTTAGCTCAGAGTCAATCTTCCTTAGGGGGGAAAAAAAAACCACTCCACCAGAGGTTTGGTTTAATACTAACGGTTAACTTACCGTTAATATGCAAATTTTCAGGGGGTCTCCCTTGAAGCTTTCATAATAATTTCACACTTTATCAGATCTTGAACTGAGAGCTGGGTTTGGGAGGAGGAGGAAGTGCAAATCAAATGTAAATATAGTTACTGGGCAAACTGGAGTTTGGGGTAGGGGGAGGAGGAGTGGGCACTGCCAAGAGGGGAATCAGGGGGCAGGAAAGGCCCAGCTCACAGCCATGCTGGGCAGAAGCACTTTGAATTGTGGAGAGGGCTGGGGGCTGCTCCACAGACTCTTACCTAGTAAGTGTCCTGTACCTAGGACAAACCTTTACCAAATAGGCTAGGACCACAGGTTGTAGCCTTGGGGTGGACAGTGACCATGTGGCCTTTGTGGGATATTGGATATTGGCCTTGGCATCCCTGGCCCTAACCAACCAGGCCAGCTGGTCCCAGACAAGCCAGCATCTAGAAGGAGCATCCAGAACCCTCCGTCCCATCCATCCATCCATCCATCCATCCATCCATCCATCCATCCATCCATCCAACAGATATCCTCTTGTGGTGATCTGCTAAGTCAGCTTCCTGACCTCCAGGCTGTAACATCTTTCAATGTCCTCCTTTCCTTTCCTTTCTCATCACCATTCTGGTTCAATTCCTTGTCGAATCAAGACCATAACCTTTCGATCGGTCTCCCTGATTCTGGGCCCTCCTGAGCCAATCCATCCCAAGCATCACTCCTAAATTAATCTCCCTAAAACATACCCAAATTCTCTTGAGTGACCGCAGATTGCCTGCAGCATCCAGTCTCAATTTCTTGGCCCAACCCAGAGGCCCACACCATATGCCCTGCACTGTGACTCCATCTTTTGGAGTTCGCAACTTCTTGAGAATAAAGGCTTTGTTTTATATTTCCAAATCAAATCAAATGTAAATTATACATTAATAAATCCTACCCCCAAAAATAATAAAAACACATTTAATTAAGAGCTTTTAACTAGTATGCATTGCTGTGTGCGTACATACAGGGCTACAGACGTGCCTTCTGACGGCCATGGTTGACAGGGTGAGCGTGCCTGAGCTGGCGCTCCAGTGCTCCTGGCCAAGGGGCTGAGCGGCAGCAAATTGCAGCTCATGATGCATTTGCTCAGCTGTGCACCCTGCCTTGGGGCCACATCATTCTGGGAGAAGAGGCGCCTTTTCCTATTCCACCCAAGCCTCGGGGCTCCTACTATTGTCTTCTGAGATGCTTTCCTCTCAGAGGAAAAGAGAGCAGCCCAAGGCCAGGCCTGGCCCAGGTAAAATAATGAATAACACGAGGAGGGTACATTCTTTAAGCAGCTCAGAATCCTCCCCCCTTTCTTCAGATGGGTGTGTGAAAGGTACATTACAACATAACATCACTGAGAGTTCAAAGGTTCTTAGTCCAACTCTTTCTTCTTTCAGGCCATAAAACTGAAAAGGGTGTTACTTGCCCTCGGTTTCCCACCTGGTTAGGGAAGAGCTTTAAAACCTCTCTCCTCTTTCCAGTCTCTCAACTGTTTGCCTTCTGGAGCCTCCCAGGTAAAACTGAGTTTTCTCCCTTACAGCCTGGGAACCTCGCCTCCAAGAGGAGCCAGTCCATCAACCTGAACCATTATGCCACCAAGAAGAGCGTGGCAGGGAGCGTGCTGGACGTGGCTCTCTTCATGTCCAACGCCGCGCGGCTGAAAGTGGTGCTGGAGCAGGGGCCGTCCTCCCAGCACTACACCACCCGCGTCACCCTCAACAGCCTCTCTCTGCTCCTGCAGGTGGCCATCGGAATCCTCCTCACGGTCGTTGATGAGGAGCCCAGGCCTGGAGTTGGCCTTGGTGCCCCCTGGTGGGAAGAGAAGCCCCAAGTACCTCCCTGTACTACCCAGCGTTTGCACATGCCAACATCTCAACCATACACTAACCTGGTGTCAGCCCTCTGCACTTACAAATGTCAAAGTAACAATTCCCAGACAGTGAGGGCAGGCACCCTGTCCTACCTCCTCGTATACCATATAGTGGCCACTCCACAAGAACTCACTAACTTGTAGCAGATTTCCTTACAGCCTTTTGTGTGAGCACGCATCCCCACTCTTAGCAGTCCCAGTATAAGCTCTCAAATCCAGATTCTATTAAGCACCATGTGGAGGCCCCACACACTGGCCAGTGAGGGAAAAGGCTTCTCAGCACAGCGACCACCACCTTCCTTGATTTCTGCCACATGGATCTCCGAGGTGACAGGCTTTCTCTAAACTCTAGTGGCTGTTGTGAAGGCAGCTCCAGGCTGTGGCCCCGACCCTTACCTCCCACTCCCCACTTCTCCACAGCACAGCTGAACCTCAATGAGGTAGAAAAGCAATGGTGACTAAACCAGCTCAACAACGCTGCCACCACCTTGGTCTTCATCACTGTTGTCATCAATGTCTTCATTACAGCCTTCGGGGCTCATAAGACAGGGTTTCTGGCTGCCAGGACCTCAAGGGATCCTCTCTGAACACAGCCTGTGACCCAGGTGAGGAAGGATGGGAGATCCCCAGGTCCAAGGCTCCCAGGTGGCTCTTCTCTCACCTCTGGGGGCTTGGGGAAAGAGAGATCCTTGCCAAGCAAAAAGGAAGGTTTATAGATCTGGGGCAAGGAGGGGATCTTGGAGAAGAGCTTGGATCGGGACTCAGAAAGGCCCCCTCATGCTCTGTTAATGGGTGACTCTTCCTCAGTTCTTAGGCTCCGGTTTTTCTATAGCCTGGCATGGGCGAGAGGCAATGTGGTTAATGGTTGGCTCTGCCCCACTAGCAAGAGGAAAGGTGGAGATGTGGGATTTGTCCTTGGCATTGTCCAGCAGTCCTTGCTACTCAAATTGTGGTCCAGGGACCAACAGCAACAAAAGCGACCTGGAAGCTTGCTGGAAATGTAGACTCTCAGGCCCTGCTCCAGATCTACTGAATCAGCACCTGCATTTTAATAAGGTTGCCAGGGGCATCATGTGCACAGTAAAGTCTGAGGTTTGACCTGCCCTTTTCACTGCCTCTTCTCTGCTTTCCCTATAGGTAGTGGGTCTGGAACTGCTTCTGCCTCTTTCCTCTCTGATCTTCCAGGCTGCTGGGCACCTTCCAAAACCCCTGGAAGAGCTCCTAAAAGGGCAGTGTAGATGCCCTTTCTCCCTACCCACAGCACCTGAATTAAGATGTGATATTTTACCAGTCTAAGTGAATTCCATCTTGGTCTGGAGTCCTGAGCTCAGACCGGGGTACTGCCAACCTTTCCTCCTGGTAGCATCTCCTGCACCCAAGGCGTGTCTACCTAAGGCTGAGTCTGCCCAGTTTATGGTCTCTGGTTCTGACTCTGCTGCATCCATACCGTCCGCTCCAGGCCTCAGTTTTCCCTTTCTGGAAAATGGAATGATTTCTATCTATAAAGGTTTCTGCAAATCCGCTGTGAGTCAATCTTTATGCTCCCAGGCTGGGCTCTGGATGTCCTCTCCATCTGCGTCCCGGAATGGGCTCAAAGGAGCAAACCCCAAGCCTGGAGGGAGAAAAGGCTCTTAAATCTCTCCCTCTCCTCTGGGTCCTGCTCTGAGTCACCCTTCTTGGCTCCACGTGCCTTGGGCTAATTACCATCTGTGACATCGACAGCAGATTCATCGCTTCTGGATTGATGTGCGTATGCACAGTCCTTAGAGCCACTATACACCTGCTTCTAGCTTTCATATCAGCGCCTTCTCTCGGGCACATGTTTAAGGAATACAAACTAATTTTGAGCTCTGCTAGGCCAAGTATAACTAGGAAGGTAGAGCTGCACCTGTAAAGCATCAACAAGGCATCCCCAGCTCAAATAGAGATGATTTTTAGATGGTCTTTATTTTAGAATAAGCCACACCCCGCTCCTCTGCATTATTCGCTAAACCATTCTGGCCCTGCATCTAGCCTTCCTCACCCAGGTGGCCACCAGCATTTCTCAGCTGCAACCACCAATCTCCATTAACCTGCTGAACACAAAATGCCTGTCTGCTCTCAGACTGTGAGCTCCTCAGACACGAGCAACGTCATCCCCTTTCTGAGTAAACCACAGCACAGAGAAGGCTGTACCCACACAGAGGGACTGAACTAACGGTAAAGGGTGGAGAGGGAGTGAGAGGGGCCTTGGCATGTCCCTCAGACGCCAGACAGCTGAGGAACAGAGATGTGAGCCCTGAGGCCTGCAGCCCCACCCTCTCCCACCATGGATGGGCAACAGGAAAACACAGAAGCCATTTTGTTTTGTTTTCTAAGATGCTATATTTAACACTTTCCCTCTCCCTCCCCCCACCCTCGACATTTCCCTACGGAGTAGGGCCCATGCCAGGCCCTCCAGCTTAAGGCAGATGGTGTGGAGGTAACAAACATCAAACATAAGGCACAGCCAGGGGCAGAGGGGGTGGTGGGCAGGGCAGGGAGGCTGGGCTGGCTCCTGGCATCAAGAGAAGTGAAGTGGGGGGCTGGCCCAGTGGCGCAAGCGGTTAAGTGCTCGTGCTCCGCTTCGGCGGCCCAGGGTTCACAGGTTCGGATCCCGGGTATGCAGCGACATACTGCTTGTTAAGCCATGCTGTGGCAGCGTCCCGTATAACAAGTAGAGGAAGATGGGCACGGATGTTAGCCCAGGGCCAATCTTCCTCAGCAAAAAAGAGGAGGATTGGCATCGGATGTTAGCTCAGGGCTAGTCCTCCTCACAAAAAAAAAAAAAAAAAAAAAAGTGAAGTGGGAGGGCTGTTTGGGCTGGCTCGGGCCTTCCAGTGCAATGCCCAAGGATGAGAGTGGCCCCAGAAAGAAAGCTGACAGCCTAGCCGGCCAACTTCAGCTCTCGCCTACTCCCCACAACCCTTTCCCAAAGGCAGTAAGCCCGAGTAGGGACCATAAAAAGCCATAGCCCACAAGGCAGGTATGGCATCCATAAGCCACAATCTATTACAGTCATGTGTCGCTTAACCACAGGGATATGTTCTGAGAAATGCGTGTTTAGGCAATTTCGTCGTTGTGCAAACATCATAGAGTGTACTTACACAAACCTACATGGTATAGCCTACTACACACCTAGGCTGTATGGTACTAACCTTATGGGACCACCATCATACACGTGGTCTGTTGTTGACCAAAACGTCGTTATGCGGCACATGACTGTAATTGAAAAGTCTTTGTCCTTGACTTCTTAGAGGGAGGCAGGGATTCTCTTCAACCTCCAGAAAGTTCTCAACAGGCTCCATTCTCTCATATGCCAAGTTTATGCTCTCGGTGAGTGCAGGGCCCACCAGGTAGAGCCTGCAGCTCCTAATGCAGTGACTGGGACCCTGCCACAGCATGGAGCTTGGGCTCAGCTGAGTGGCCTCCTGGGCCCTGCTGCACCACCATAAGCTCTTCCTCACAGCAGGGAGCCCTGTGCTGACCTCCCTAAACAGACACTGGAGTTCAAGACTCACGTCCAATGCACCACCGAGGAATTTGGCGGCAGAGGTGGCAGCAGCAGCGGCAGCAGCAGCAGTAGAAAACCCCCAGCCACAAAGGCAGCTGGGGATTATTAGTGCAAGATAAGTGCATGATCATCAGGTGACGGACACGGCGGCCTAGACCACAAAGGCCAAGGGCTCTTCTCCCTGAAACGGCTTCACTTTTCAGTTCCTCCTGGCCCCTGCTCCCTTCCACTTGGGGAAGACATCTCAGGGCGATGCCCTCACCTCCCAAACCTGTTACCCCTTCCTACCCTGGTCCCTGTTTCACGGTTCCGTTGCGCCCATGACCCTTCCTCTTCTTCCACTCAAGGCTGTGGCCGGGGCTCTCCCTGCAGGAGGGAAAGCTGTGGCCGAGCTGGGCTGTAAGGACTCCAAGCTTCCCACTTCCCTTTTTGTCCCCTCCTGCTGGACCCCCAGCCCCTCCCAACTAAGTCGAAGGATTACTTAAATTTAATCCTCTTTCCTCTGCTTCATATTGTCCCCACAGCCCGAGCTCACAGGCGGGCTGGTTTGGGAAAGGGCTTCTCTTCCCTGCCTTCTCCACCTTGCCCGTTCTGCACAGGCTATCTGCCAAACAGTGGGGATGGACAAGCCCATGGCCCACCACTTCCCTGTCTCCCAACCCTGCTGTGGCACCAGCAAGATGATGCCAGTTCTGTGTTTCTGGTCGGTATGAAGTTAGCGCCCCCTGGAGGGTAAGGTTAATGCCCTAATGGGTGGCCAGCTGTTCGGTGGCTACCTGGGAGAGAGGTGTGTGTCTCTGGAAGGCACGAGCCTAGGGCAGAGCTGAGAACTGCTCCTTTGATTGTAAATCAGCTGCCAGGTCAAGGACCAGGGGACACACCTCTACACAGGAGTGGGTATGAGGTATGCAAGTGGGACACTCCCTAAATGCATGCTTCCACCCCCTCTCACAGTCAGTGCTGGGTCTGCACAGTTACAGTTTTGGTTTTCTGTTAAAAAAAAAACCCCAATAAAATCTGTCCAATGGAAGTTTCCAGTTCCTGCTCCCTGCTCCCTGCTCGGAGCACCGGGTGGCTGCTGGAATGCACCTCAGATTAGGACGGTATCGCTCAAGCGGGTCTTTCCTTCCTTGACCTCATCGTGCTGCCCTCCCTGAGCTGTTCCATCTCTGTTGACAGTGAGCAAGCGGCCGGCCTGGCCCCTGTTCCAAAGTGCAGGCGAAGAGAGGGGCCTCGGCATCTGTCTCCGTGTGAGGTGACTCCCGGTAGAGTGGGGGTATTATTAGCTCTGAGCCCTCTCAGGGCCCAGCCATGGCTTCTGCTCCCCTTCTCTCTCCTCCTCCAGCAGCGACAGGGCACTGGGGGAGCAACCTCAAGTCAAGGAGCAGGGAGCCGTCGGTCCAGCGGGCCACGCCTCGGGATTACGGCACCTTCATCTGGCGGCGGTTCCACATGCCTCGCTTGGAATGGAAGTGATGGAAGAAATTCCTGAGGGAGAGACGTTCCACTTCCAGGCCCGCTTGGAGGATCCTGAATGGGGGAGGGGCAGGATGAGCAGCAGAAGCACAAGAGGCACCTGGGGAGAGGCCTAAGCCCCCAGGAACCGGCCCTCCCACTGCATCAGACTGTCCCTGTCTTCCTCTGTTCAGTCCCCTCAAGGCAGGTGAGGCTGTGGTGCAAGGAATGTGGGCTTTGGAGCCAGACAGCCTGGGTTGGAATCCTAGCCCCACACTGTGTACGTCACATCATCTTTCAGAGCCTCGGTGTGCTAATCTCCAGAAAGAGGATACTAATGCTATCTATACATGGAAGGTGGTGGGAAAGACTGGAGATCAGGGATGCAAGTGCTCAGCATGGGCCCTGGCATACACCAAGTGCCCAATAACGAGTCCGCCTCAGAGGACACTTCCCAGTGCTTGCGGGAGGCAGAGGGCGAGAGCAGACCTTGTCCCCAGGCCTGCCCCTGTCCCTGTTCTATATGTACAGCCTGTTGGGAGTCCCTCTCACAAAGAGGCCTGTACCTCTGGCAGGGTGGAAGTAACTGGAATTTGGAGCAGTTTCTTTCTCCCTGGGCCTCAGAGGAGGTGGGAGCCTTAAGAACTGTATCACAAGTCTGCATCTTCCCAGCCTGACACAGAGATCAAGGCAGGAGGGAACCACTAGAGCAGGCTTCTGTCCACTTTGGGATCGACTTTGATTTAGCTTCATGGGAGCTGGGGTATCTAATATAAGCTTCCTCAACCTCCCTCCTTTGCACCTTAAATTTTCTTACTATTGTCATCTTTCTTCCCTCTAGGGAAAAAAAATAAACAGATCTGGTTTTTAAGTCTCTGAGACTCACTAGCTGTGAGACATGGGGCAAGTTACTAATGTCTCTTCAAGACTCAGTTTCCTCATCTGTAAAATGGAGATAATTACACCCACCTCCCAGAGGTTTGGGAGGAATACACGAGGCAGTGGGTGTAAATCACCTGCCAAGTGCAGGTACCCAGTGACTGTGTCTCCTCCTTGTCCAGGGCCCCAGATCCCCAGCGCTCCCGACCTTGCCCTGTCCACCACTTCTGGACATTCTCCCAGCAGTTACTCCCTTTCTTTCTTGGATTTCCATACCCCCACTCCTTTGCCCCTGCCTCTTCAGCTCAAATCTCAAGGAATCATCCTCTTTCCCTCCCCTTCTCTTGGCAGTAAATTTCTTGAAAGAGGAATCCATACTAGCACAGCCTTCGTTTCCTCAGCACCCACACGTTCCGTAGTCCCCACAGCCCGGGTCCAGCCCGGCCTGCTCCCTGCTACAACACCCTCTTCTATCCACTTGCCAAGCCCCCAGCTTGTCCTGTGCTCTCCTCCTCCTTTTCCGAGGCTTTTCATGCCATTGACTCTTCCCTCTTCCCCGAAACTTCCTTTTCCCTGGTCTTCCAGGGACCCAACCCTCCTGGATATCTGGCTGTCCTTTATTTCCACACTGTCTCTTTTGCTGGCCCCAAAGTCTTTCTTGACCCTCTGCCTGTCTCTCTTATCCATTCCCACCACAGCAGCCTCCTCCCCTGGGCAGCCACGGAGGTCAGGAGGATGCGGTCGCTTCTCCCATTAGCGCCTGGCCTGCTGCGAGACAGCATCATTGACACTGCACAGCTCCACAGTGTTGCCTTGTCCCCTGACAGTTTACCAAGCACTTTAATTTCCACACCAGCCCTGGGACACAGGCAGAGGCAGTATCATCCCTGCCAATAGACACAGACACCGAGTCTCAGCGAGGGAAGGAACTTGACCCCAGTGAGGGCAGTGCTTCCTCGAGTCCAGTGCTCTTTACCTGCGTGTCAGGAATCTGCATCCCAGGGAGGCTGGGCCTGGGATGATCTAGCCTGTCCTCTCCCCAGAGCACCTGATGGATGGAACTCTCCAGTCACCTGTCCAGCAGCTCCCAGTCTTCCCCGCCCCAGCGGTCTCGGAACTCCCTGGTGTTCATGCCCCCAATCCTGTCCAGGTCTGATTTGTAGATGCCGAGCAGTCCAAATCCATTTACCTCCCAGTAGCCTGTGGACAGACAAGAAGCTCTAGATGAGAGGAGCCAGGGGCCAGGAGGAAGGAATGAAGAAGGCTTCAGGCTGCCTTCCTAGAGCCTTTTCTGAAAGATGGAGGATGGGGTGGCTGAGGCTGAAAACTCTCCCCTCTGAACAAGGCCCTTGCCTGTTCTGAGGGGAAGCCCCCTGAGCTAAGGTTCAGGGTCCAGTGAAAGCAGCAGTCCTACAGGGAGTGACCAAGGCTGACGACAGCCCTACAATAGGACCTGACAACAGCAGCACTGAAGGCACAGCCGAGTATTGGTCACTTTGTCCATTTCCCTCTTTGCATACTCACAGGGCAGAGTCTGGCACACAATAAATGATGAAAGAATGAAGGGGAAGATGGGGCAGGAAATGTTCGTTGCTGCTGTGCTGTCAGCACAGCCCTTCAGGCACTGCCCTGGTGGACTGTCCAGGTGAGCAGAGGAGCAGGAGGGCAGTGGGGGAGGGGGATACTGCCGCTGTAGACATGACTGTTTCCAGCTCTGGGGTTAAGAACCAAGGCCAGGGGGGTCTTTCCTACCCTCCCGAGCCCAGGGCAGCACTGACCCTCAGGCCACTGGGGGGTGGCCCCGCAATGCAGCCTCATCACCATGGGGGCAAAGGCCATCTTGCCCTCCACACAGTGCTTCCGGATGGTATCGATGACGCCAGCTGGGAAGTGGATATGGAGGTCACAGAGGAAGATGATGCTGTGCGGGTCCTGGGGACAGATGTGAGAGTCAGCAGACCCTACACACCAGGCCTAGGAGGCCAGGCCACTCTCTAGGACAATGCTCAGGCTCTTCCCCATGTGGATGATTGACAAAATTCCATAAAACAAATGTTAAGCAGATTTCCACAGTGCTGTGCCCCAGAGCACAGTTGTTATGATCCGAGAGTGAATTCTGACTCCTCTTCCCACCGCGTATGGACTCCAAGGACTCGGGACACATGCTCCACTGTCATTTGTTCAGGCCCTGGAACCGGCCCTGCAGCACAGCCGAGAGGACCCATCCTTCCTCCCTGAGGAGCTGACCGCCTTACACATCCCAAATGTCTCTCTACCTCTTAACCACGCCTCCCAAGCCCCTCCCAGGCCGTTTACCTTCACCAGGTCTATGCCAGCCTGAAGTCCAGCCGAGCGCTCGAAGTTTCCACTTAGCTTCTTGTACTGGTAGCTGCAAGGAGAGGAGAGAAGAGAGGGGCTGAGTATTAGGACTTGGCTGTGGTGGTCCCCTGGAGTAAGTCAGCAGGCATAGAATAGAGATGATGTGTTTTCCTGGGATGGGATTATGGCAGGTGAGTCTTCTTGAAAAAGCCAGAGACTGGGGATGACGAAAGCTAGGTGGGACTTCTGGCTCTGCCGGACCCAGCAGTTCTGGGACTTTAGGAAGGAGATGGCCCAGGCTGTGCCCTGGCCAGGGGCCCTCCTCACCTCCGCAGCCTGGACCTCTTCAGGGCCATCTCGACATCCATGTCCTCACTGCTATAGTCAGTGATGATGATGTTGAAATGTGGGTCACCAGTGACCCGGAACAGCTTTTCCATGTCTCTGATGAATTGCTGTACCCAGCGCGCCTGGTTCTTTACTACCCCAGTGGGGCAGGCAGGGAGAAAGAAGCAGAGGTAACGAAAGAAGGGCATCTCCACTCCCGGTTCCTGCACGAGTCAGGGTCCCACCAGACCTCTACTTAGGGTAATGCAACTACAGGAAGCCATTAGCAATGCAGTATGGAGACGGAAGGCAGAGGACAGCACACCAGCTGAAGGGGCCTCTACAACCTGCTCCTGCACAGCCTCCCAGGCAGGGCCACATCGGAAGGCCTTAGTCTGGGGCTTGCCATCATTCTCTCATAGTAACCCCCGGCATGCTGAAACACTCAAACCTTGAGATCTGTCCATCTGATTACCATCCTTCATTTCCTGTCCAACCCCGTTGTTATCCTCCTGTCTGCTCCGTGCTCCCCGTTCTCATTACAGAAACCAGCTAACCCCCTCTATTAAGTACCTCCCTGTCTTATTTTCCCAGGCCAGTTGTAAACCCCAGTACCTCAACCCCAGTTGACTGTCACACCCAACTCTGAAACCTGGTACCATAGAGCGACTGGCCTCTGCGTCAGTGCCCATTCCCAGCTCCAACCCTTACTAGCCACGTAACCTTAGACAAGTTACTTTTCTTTTGTGAGCCTCAGTTTCCTCAACTGTAAAGTGGTCTCTCTCACAAGTTCTCGTGAGATCAAATGAGTGAGCAGAGACCTGGCTGCTCATGATTATTATTTGGATCCCTGCTCCACCGATGGCACCCAGGCTTGGCTTGAGGCTCACCAGGCACGATGAAGTGGACCACGGCTCGGTGATTCCAGGAGAAGCCCTGGGGCCAGCAAAGCTTGGGCTCTGGGGCGCGGACATTCAGGACCTGTCCCCGGTGGTTGTGTGGACTCCAAACCAGGCCCTGCAGGTTCCGGGACTCGGGCTCTTCCCTGCCTGCTGGATCGATGCCCTGCCAGCCTCGCGTAGACACGTACTCAGAGAGTCTCACCAGGCGCTGGCCTTGGTCCAGCAGCTCAAGCTCCAGGAGGTAGCGCCCCCCACGTAGCTGGTCCTGACGCTTCTCCACGTTCACAACGCGCTGTAGCTGATACCTCCTATGGCAGATAGGGTGGGGGGCCTGAGTAATTCCTTCCCACACTGTAGAAGTAGCACGGTGTGGTAGAGCCTGCAAGGCCAGGTGTCAGGAGACACTGGTGTTTGTCCCAGCTTTGCCATCAGCTAAGATGCTTAACTTCACTAGTGTTCCCTGCCTCCATCTTAAAAACATACCTGTTGAGCTGGGATGACCTTTCGTCTGTTACTGCTCTAAGATCCTAAGTATATAAGGTGAATGAAAAGGGTCACAGTGAGATGTTCCTTCAGAAATTGACCCTCATTAATAAAATGCTCTGTTCATGGATTACTAGATAAACGTTGACTGGCTGGCTCAACATCATAGTCACTAGGGAAATGCAAATCAAAACCACAATATGACAACCATTTCACACCCATTAGGATGACTGTTCTTTATTTTGTTTTAAAAAAAGGAAAATAAGTATTGATGAGGATATAGAGAAATTGGAGCCTTCATATATCGCTGATGGAAACGTAAAATGGGGCCAATTTGGAAAAGAGATTGGTAGTTCCTCAAAATGTTAAACAGAGTTACCATATGACCCAGCAATTCTACTCACGGAAAACATGTTCACACAAAAACTTGTACAAGAACATTCATAGCAGCATTGTATTCATAATAGCCAAAAGGTGGAAACAACCCAACGTCAATCGACTGCAGAATGAATACACAGTACGTGCTCTATCCATACAATGGAATATTATGCAGCAATACAAAGGAATGAAGTACTTGATACATTCTGCAACATGGATGAGCCTTGAAAACAATTTGCTAAGTGAATGAAGCCAGACACAAAAGACCATATATGATATAATTCCATTTATCTGAAGTGTCTGGAATAGGTAAGCCTATAGAGATAGAAAGTAGAGTAGTTGTTGCCAGGGACTGGGAGGAGGGAGGAATGGGAAGTAACTGCTAACAGGTATGGGGTTTCTTTTAATAGTGATGAAAATGTTCTGGAATCAGATAATGATGACAGTTGCACAATATTATGAATATTCTTAAGAACTACTGAATGAATATTCTTAAAAAATGGTGAATTAGGGCTGGCCCCGTGGCTTAGTGGTTAAGTGCACGCGCTCCGCTGCTGGCGGCCCGGGTTCGGATCCCGGGCGCCCACCGATGCAACGCTTGTCCGGCCATACTGAGGCTGTGTCCCACATACAGCAACTAGAAGGATGTGCAACTATGACATACAACTATCTACTGGGGCTTTGGGGGGGAAAAATAAATAAATAAAATCTTAAAAAAAAAAAATGGTAAATTAAATGGTATGTGAATTTTATCTTTTTTTTTTTTTTGGGAGGAAGATCAGCCCTGAGCTAACATTCATGCCAACCCTCCTCTTTTTACCGAGGAAGACTGGCCCTGAGCTAACATCTGTGCGCATCTTCCTCCACTTTATGTGGGATGCTGCCGCAGCATGGCCTGACAAGCGGTGCGTCGGTGCGCACCTGGGATCCGAACCCGGGCCGCCAGCAGCGGAGTGTGTGCATTTAACTGCTATGCCATGGGGCCGGCCCCGTGAATTTTATCTTAATTAGTAAAATGTTGATTGGTTGAATGAATGAATGCAAAAACAAAGAACTCAGTCATGCCTTCTGCCCTAGTCCTTCTAGTCCAAACCTGGGGTCTTAATTTGTCTTTTTTAGCCTGAGTTTTGCCTGTTCTGTCTCTTTACTAGCTCCTTCCCTGAGAGGGAAGCACATTTGCCGAGCCTTTCTAGTGTTCCACACGTGTCCTGGGCCAGGTATCCAGTCACCCATCAGAACCTTGCTTGATGGTGGGACAAAGACCTGACTGTCTGGGTCACCTCCAGGGGCAGGGCCCCAGGCTCTTGTGCTTCCCAGGAGCCTGCAGCAGGGGAGGTTGATACAGCCACCAGGTCCCTGCCCCCAGGCCAGCTGGCTGCCGAGTGCCCCAGCCCTGGCCCCAGGAGAGCCCTTTACCTTACCCCCGGCTCCTCTGGCTGAGCTTCTTCAAGAAGACCCGTGTGACCTCGAGAGCCTCCTGCTCTGGAAGCAGCAGGTTGCCAGACGTGTTGCAGTTCAGATCAATCCAGTCAGTCCGCAGGGCTTGGAAGTCGAGGTTCTGGGCACTGAAGGTCTGGTCCCAGTTTACCACTGGGTCAAACACGGGCACATATTCAAACACCTCACCCACATCCTCTTCCTCTGCCTCTTCCTCTCCTTCCACTTGTCCTTCCTGGCCTGCAGCTGCTACCACCTCCTCCTCCCCATGCCAACCCCTCCTGGGGGCCAGAGGCTCCATCCTGTCACCCCTTCTCTGCTCTGCAATATACGACTCAACTTGATTCAGCCATTGGGACTGCCCTAGAGTTTTCCTGGGGCTGTCATCAGCGGGCCTGGGACGCTTAACTTGAGGCAGGTTCCCTGCCAGGTGCCCAGGGGGCCACTTGTCAGAATGAGGTGGATCTTGGCTGGGCTCAGGGATGGGTTTTCTTTCTCTCTTCTCTGGTGGTTGGATGGGGATGTCGCTGATCCTCACTGGGAAGGGAGCTGTGGAGTTCTGCTTGGAAAAGGGTGCCAGCGGACCCTCCCAGGGCTGAGCCAGGAGTTTCCGCAGGCTTTGGAGGTGGTAGTCAGTGGCCTCCCGCTCAGGGGTGGAGGCAGGCACTGGTTTTCCCTCTGGCATCCTGGCGTTCTGGTCATTGGAGGCAGGGGTCTCCTCTGCCGCTTCTCCATACTGAGATTCTTCTAGAAAGGCTTCCTCAAAACCTGTTAATAACAACCATTCCTCACAGCAGGGTTTTCAACCTTTCCCCAGCAAGATACACAAGACAGCTGATGATCCTATGTGTGATACAGCACGGGGTTTCAGATGGGGATTGCATACAGGCTCCACCACTTACTTATCCTGTGCCCTGGGCAAGTTGCGCAACCTCAACTAACACAGGTTCTTCATCTGCATGAAGGGAATAACTCATCTTCCACAGGGTTATTGTGAAGACTGAGTGATATAAAGTACATAAGTGCCTAGCAGGTGCCTGGCACGTATAGGGACCCAATAAATGGCCCCAGCCATGCCCTAATACCACAAGAAGAAAGGCCACAGGAAGACAGTGCTTCTCTATCGCAGAACTTCCCAAATGATGTTCCCGGGACAGCAATGCCCTCAAGCAGTTCAAGTAATCTCCTCCAGGGCTCTAAATCTCCTCCAGCTGACCCCAGCATGCTGTTAAAAATAGCACCATTTTCTACACGTGCCTTGACATGGAAATGGTGGGAGTGGTACTGCTCTCCACTCCCTTGGGTGTGAGGGGAAGGTCTCTGTGGTTTGGATTTTAAGCGCCTCGGGGGCAAGGCTGGCACAATCTGAACTTCCCCTAGAAACAGACTATGGTCACCCCTACCAGCCTGACCTCAGCCTCAGTTGTCACTCTGTACCTGGCTGCTCCGGTCCCTGCTTCTCAGGCTGGTCAAGCTTGATGTACTCCTGAAAGCTGAACCTGCAGGAGGAAGGGAGAGGTAGACTGGCACCCAGTGCCTGCAGGCTAACATGTGAGGCTCTGCTGGAAGTCCCAGCAGGAGTCTGAAGTCATGCCCCAGACTAGAGTGGAGGAAGGAGGCTGGGTGAGAGTGTGTGTGTGTCTGTCACTGTGAAGTGCCTAGGAAGGGCACTTGTGGCCCCTCTTGTTCAGACAGCTGTCCTGGCTCCTGCAGAGCCCCTCTGTAAGGCCATCTGCTTGTCCTATTCAGTGTCTCTCACCTGTCCTGGTAGTACGTGTTTTCCTGGTAGAAGCATTTATTATGGGTCTCCATGTGGCTCAGGCGAGTATAGTCATTGGGGTAAACGAAGGATAGATGAACCTGGAGGTAGAGAAAGAAGCAGCAGCAGTAAGAGGGTGGGATCTTGGTAAAAAATCAGCCCACCAGGGTTAAGCCTGCCCCTGGTTGGGATCATATAGGGCTCTAGTGACCTGCCCTTGGTGAGCACGGAAGGGCTGCTTTCAGCTCTGAATGAAACATTTGGTAATGCAGACCAGCATGCGTTCCACTTTTTATGCCTTCTCTCCTGGGCTCTCTGGAACAAAGGTAACTGATGAATCAAGCTCCCTAGTCCACATGTCCCTTATCTCCTGTCCCAGCTCATTACGCCCAGCTGCAGCCAAGACCATTCCCTTTCCTGCTGCCATCTTATCCTCTCTTACAACCTCTAAACATTTCCCTGCAACTTTCCACAGCCCTGGAACAAGCCCCCTCTTGTTATTTACTACACTGCTTTTTGCTCCCCTTAAACATAGCTCAAGATCATCACTACTGAAAACCTTCTCAGTTATACCCCACCCATTCTCGGACCTGGTGCAGGACCACTGGCTGCCCTCTTCCTGCCTCCAGCACACTCTCGTAGTTATCTCTACATCTGGATATATAGTGCTCATCTGCCTCTCTACCTTCCACATGGGCTAGAGGTTCTCCAAAGCCAACCTCTCCTCCATAGTTCATTTTTCCCCAGTGCTTTGCATGTAACTAGAATAAATACTGCTGCCTGACTGGCTGGTAGGACTGACCCAGGCAGGACAGGGTTGTAAAGCCCTCGGAGCACAGAGGGTAGGGAGCCTCAGGCCAGCACACCTCGCATCACTGCTGTGGCAGCGTTGGTGCGTGGTCTTCAGCAGGCAGAGCACCCATTCTCAGGCTTTGCAAGGCATTCCATCCAGGTCAGAGGCAACTTGGAATGCAAGTTCTCCCAGCCGAGGGACCTGGGAGGCCATCCTGTCTGCTGGTATGTGGCATGAGTGGGGGAAAGGGACTCAGCCTCATCACATCCCATCCCAGCCATAAGCAGCAAGCCCTCTCTCTCTTCTGCCCCCCACTGCCCAGGTCCAAGACTTACAAACCGGAGTCCCTGGTAGCGCTGCAGAGGGAGCCCATCCACCAGGTAGCTGGGTTTGTAGGGACAATCAGGCAGGATGTGGCGGAGATGAGACTTGGGGATCAGAGGCACTGAGGACATTAAGGGAAGCGGGATGAGAGTGGGGTGGGAGCCTGGAACCAGTGCTGGCCTAGAGCCAGGAAGGCTCCTGGCTGAGGGGTGAGGGCTGAAGTCCTCTGCCCTGGGCAAGCACCTTTTTGTATTCACTTGGCAGCCATGGTCAGAGTCCATGTCCATGGGCTGAGGCTGCCAAACCGAGGCTGGCACCCCTCTTCTGGGGCAGGGGCATTCAGGGAGCACCTTGGCAGCAGAGGGCTCCGACACAGTCCCTGGTACAAGGCACAGTATGACTCTGGGATTGCTGTACAAGGCTATCCTCAACAAAGGTTTAGAACTTCCAAGAGGCCACAAAGCCTCACCCTAGTGCAGTGCCAGTAACTGAATTTCCTTCCCGTTGTCATGGGGGGACTTCGTCATCTTTTATTTATTTATTTTTTTTTAAAGATTTTATTTATTTTATTTTTTTCCCCCCAAAGCCCCAGTGGATAGTTGTATGTCGTAGCTGCACATCCTTCTAGTTGCTGTATGCGGGACTCGGCCTCAGGATGAACGGAGAAGTGGTGCCTCGATGCGCACCCGGGATCCGAACCCGGGCCACCAGCATCGCAGCGCGCGCACTTAACCACCAAGCCACAGGGCCAGCCCTCGTCATCTTTTAAAATGTAATCACGCCCAGGAGTTTAAGTTTCTAACACCTTAGCGGGAATATGTTTCTCTCACCAGATGACAAGAGTTGGAATCCAGTAAGAAACGGTGATACACGTAACTGCTGAGGAACACACAAGGGTCTCCTGGGTTCTAGTTCTATTTCTTGTCCTGGGTGGTGGTTACACAAATATTTGCTCTGTAATGATTTGCTCTGTAAAATTGTACATATATATTTTTGTCCTTTTTTTTTGTTTGCATGTTATATTTTACACTACAAACCAACAAAAAAGAACCTCTGCCTTTTGGGATACTGTGATAGAACTGACAGGTCTCCTGAGTCTCCTCCACCGACACCCATGGACCTGGCAGTGTACTGTCCCCAGACTGAATGACAAGTGTGCGGCCGAGGCCTTACCTCGATAGAGGGTGTCCCGAGGGTCAGGCCGCAGCATGTCAGCGGGGGGCTGCTCATCTCTGGGAAGAGAGTCTGAGGAGCCTACATGGCTGGCTGCTGTCTGTGGGATGTGGCCCACCTCATCCATCCTTAGCAGCGTCTCATCTGGGCCCGGGGAGGAAAGAATAGAGGGCAGCTGTGAGTCCTGGAGCAAACATGGCCCAGAACCCAGGCCCCCGCCTCCTGGAGGGGCCAGGAAGAGGATCAGTCAAGGCTGTATTCCCCCGGGGACAGTATAGGACGTGCTCGGTCCCTCTTCCCTCTAGCCCTGCCCCCCATAACTCATGGTTTCAGCTCTTTATCTCCTTTTGAACCCCCACCCCCACCAGCCCCATGGCTAGCACACACCACAATTTCATGTGAATTGGAAAAAGACACCTCTTTCCCAAAATCTTTCACTGCTATCTGCAGGAAATTTGTCATTACAAGTGTGTTTAATTTATTTAACAAATACATATATAGCACTTATTAAATAATAAGCCAGGCACTATTCTAAGCATCTTACAAATATTAACCCACTTAATCCTCATAACCATCATATGACTTACGTACTATTATTATTATTCCCATTTTACAGACAAGAAACTTTGGCAGAGAATCTAAGTCATTTGCCTAAGATCACACAACTGAGAAGTGGCAAAGCTGAGTTTGAACCTAGGCAGCCCAGTCTCCGCCTCCAGGTTGCGTCGCCTCTTGACAATCAACACCACCTACCCGAGTGGGGCGGCCCCAGCGTCCACGGCAGCCCTGCTCCTCACCAGCTCTGGTATTCTTATCTTCAAGTCCACCGTACCTACTTCTTCCCCTTTCTACCCGGCCCTGGGGGCTGGTTGGGGGCCTCTGCTCTCTGCCTCCAGGTTCACTTGTCTTTAGGCCCAGATAGAGCTCTCCCTATACACCCGAGGCTACCTACCTCTGGCCCCTATTACTGGTTTCTTACCTGAACTTTGCTATGGGCCTTTTCTTCTTGGTTCACATTGAATCTCTGGATTCCAATTCTCCCTTCTTCTTCCTGCACCAACCCAGCAGCTCACAACCTGCCCCTCCTGCCCTGACCTACAGCCTCTTGCTCTGGTCACCAGCAACCTCCTCCACCCATCTGCCCATCCCACACTGCCACCCTCTCCTGTGGACCAGACCTCCCCATCTCTCTCCCTCCTGTCCTCCTCACACACTTCCCACCGCCTTCCCAGTCTCCTCCCAGCACCCGCCTGCCCTTTCTCCCTTGGAGTTCAAGCTCTGCCTGCTCTCCCTGTACCCGGGCCCACACGGCCCCACCTATCAGGTGGTGATTTCTCAGCGGGGCCTCTGGATAGGAGTCTTGCTGAGGAATCATAAGCAATGAACAGCTCAACTGAAGAGCTCATTTACCACAGATTTAGAGCAGGTGAGAAAGTTTCCTCTCTGGCCACGGCTCTGCAAGAACCATGGTTGCCTTATCTGTGAAATAGATCGGCCTCACTCAGAGGTTTTTCATCTGGAGTGAGCCTCATGGTCTCTGGATCCCCTGGAAATTGTACACAAAATATTGTGTGTGGGTGGACAGGGGCATTTTTCTGAGGCGAGGGCTCAGAGAGCTTCCAGCAGGTTCTCAAAGGGGTCACTGACCCCCTGAGAGTTAAGGCCCTCTGACCTTAGGGTCCCTGTAGGTTCTGTTCCTTGTTCGGGACCCCCTTCATACCCATGTTCCAAGCACCTTGAGCTTTGGCCACCAACCCCCCACCCCTCCTCTGACCAAATTCCCCAGGTGGATTGAGCCCCACACATAGGCGCCACCTCACCTCCGTTTCCAGGCGAGGGGCAGAGCCTACTCACTTGTGAAGAGGGACAGGGAAGGGGAGTCGATGAGGGTGAACTTGGCTCCAGGGTCATTCCGCCGCCACTGGAAGAGGAGAGAGGTGGATGTGGGAGGGTAAAGGTAGCTGGATGTCAAAAAGCGTCCAAGGGACAAGGGGAGTGGCTCAGAACTGGGCTCGGAGAGGCAGGAACAGCAAGCACTCACCGCGACTTCCACGTGATCAGTGCCCTCGTCGTTCTGCTTGTGCAGCACCTCAAAGTAGTACCTTTGGGAGGCCGACAGGCTGGCAGGAGGAGAGAGCAAAGAAACAAGGCTGTCTTCCCAGGCCCCTGTGGTCATCCCTCTGTCCCACTCTTCTGCTGTGCCACCAGCTCCCACCTCGCTCCCACCACCCATCACTCCCTTGTCCCTTTCTCCTTGCTCTCAGAATTCCAGGAGCTTGTCACTTAACTGTCGGGTTAGAATCCCCACTCTACCACTCACTAACAGCGCGACCTTAGTTTATCTTCTGTAAGGTGGGGATAATAACGGCACTTAAGGGGCCAGCCCCGTGGCTTGGCAGTTAAGTGTGTGCGCTCCGCTACCAGCGGCCCAGTTCAGATCCCGGGCACACACCAACGCACCATTTGTCCGGCCACGCGGAGGCGGCGTCCCACATACAGCAACTAGAGGGATGTGCAACTATGACATACAACTATCTACTGGGGCTTTGGGGGGAAAAGGGGGAGGAGGATTGGCAATAGATGTTAGCTCAGGGCCAGTCTTCCTCAGCAAAAAGAGGAAGATTGGCATGGATGTTAGCTCAGGGCTGATCTTCCTCACACACACACAAAAAATAACAGCACTTAAGTCAGGATGATGGGGAGAAGCAAATGAATAATAATAATTACCCTGATGGAGTTGTTACCATGTGCTAGGCACTGCCCTAAGTGCTTTATATATACTAACTCACTTAATCCTTGTTTACAGGTGAGAACAAAGAGGCACTGAAATCTTGGGTAATTTGCCCAAAGTCACCGAGATAGTAAGTAGTGGGGTTGGGATTTGGACCCAGAGTCCATGTCATTGGCTGCTACGCTGAATTACATGTCAAGTGCTCACCATACGCTGGCACACAGCAAGCGCTCTTTGCAAGCTAGATTGTCTTCTTATTATCAACATCAATATTACCATCAAAACAACGCATGCTCTTGCCTGCGTGTGTGCTGGCCACCAGGTGGCGCGCTGGAGTTGGGCTGAGTTCCCCCTTCCAGCATGTTAGAGCCACTGCGCCACCACTCTAGCGAGTGATCACTGCCATGAGGAACTTTCTGCAGCACAGGCAGAGCAGCTGGTGTCAGGCTGTAGAGCTGTGGACATTTCCAAGGATGGAGAAAATGGGAAGGGCGAGGACTGGGAGAAAGGACCCCCATTTTGTTTTCCAGTCCTGAGTGTCACTAAATACCTGTGTGACCTTCATTAAGTCACATCCTTCTCTAGGTCTCAGTCTCTTCTCCTGTAAGATGAGGAAGGATGGGTCAGATGGTTTCTAAGTCAAAGACTTCATTTACCAGAATGCATGGGTGCCCAGCACACTGAACGTCTGGAAAGAGGAAGGCTGGAGAGGGGAGAGCGATACAACGGGGCTCTCTGACTCTGATGTGGCCTCAGAATCTGAGGTAGAACAGGGGCTTTTGCTGCTCACAAGAATATCACGACACTCCTCACTCACCTCACTGGCTTGGAAATTTGACTCCAAAATTTCCCAAACTCTCCAGGGGCAGTCCACTCTTTTCCAGTCTAGACGTGTGGGGAGAGAGAGAGAAGGAAGCAGGAGAAGAGAAGGATGAAGGATGGGGGTGGTGAGGGAAGAGACAAGGAAGGAATGAGGAGAAGAGTGAGAGGAAGAGAGGAAGGAAGGAGATGAGAGTGATGGGAGAGAAAAGAGAAGAGTCAGGAAGAATGACCAAGTGACTCATGTGAGAAGCATCTCTGCCCTTCCCAGAGGGCCCCGGTCAACCAGTCCCCACAGTGCAAATCCAGAGCACCCTGCTGAGGACCAAAGGACCCAAAAGATAGATGTGGCTCAGTCCCGGCCCAGAGACGAATCTTCCTGGGGTCTTTTCCGCCACAGACCGACTTCTTACTCCTCCCCACACCTCACCCCGTCCCCTTGTAAATGGGATGGGGTGAGAGGGAGGACGCTTCTTTCTCACACCTTCCTCCTTGGCTCTCACAGCAGAGACACTAATGGTAATGAGAGTCTCCTGATGGAGGCACATGCCTCTTCAATGACCTGGCTCCTGGGAGTGATGTGGGAGCTCCTGGGCTGAGGTGACCCTACCTTGCCCACGCTGGCCAGCAGCTGAAGGCCTGAGACCTGGTCGTCACGGCTCAGCCAGAATTCAGCGTTGTCATCTGCAGCAATGGCAAACTGGATTTTCCCTGGGCAGTGGGGGAGAGAGTGTCCAGATGAGAGCAAGAAGGGCGGCAGCACAGAGGGCTGAGGGCCTGTTCACATCTTAGTGATTAAATTCTCTTCAGGGGCTTGGTGCCGTGGCTTCCCTCTTTGCAGAGTAGGGTCTCCTGGGAGACCCTGTGAAGATGGAGAAGACCTACAGAGAGAGGCGAGCTAATTCCAGACTCGGCAAATCAGGGAGTGAAGTGGCAGCCTGGGGGGACTGGAAGAGACCTCACCATGACTCAACTTCCCCTCTCTCCCTGATGATGGACTAACAGGGGCCAGCCAGCCTAGTGCAGACTTTTCTCAGCTACAGGCTTGTGTTCTCTGGGTGCCCTAAGGAACTCTGCAGCAGGAAGTAGAAGGATGGGACTCAGGGGCTGGCCTCACCATCGGTGAAGGGGTGCAGGTAGCCAAAGATGCGGAGGCCATAGTTGGTCCATTTGGGGGACACGGCCAGCTTCCTCAGGGTTGTGCGGATCTATGCCAAGAAAGGGGAGGGAAACCGTTACCCAGAAGAGGGAAGAGGAAATTGAAGAAATTGGTCCATTCAGGGCTGGTGGGAAGACCAGGAAGGACTGGGGTGTGGCTTGGTGAGTGGAGCGTAGGCAAGATTTCCACTCCCACTTGCTTCTTTGTCCAGGTGGCCTTGTACAGTGCACAACCAGCACAACTGTATGTGGGAGCCCTGGGTAAACTATATTATGAGCCACAATGACAGCCTAAAGCTGAAAATGATGCAGAGGACAGCAGACAAATCAAAGGAATCCCTGGGAAGGGAACAAGGGAGATATTGTGGGCAGAGGAAAAGAGGATCCAAGAGATAAAGGAAAGAAACTGAATCAGAAAAAAAGCAAGGAAAGATGAAGGAGACAGAAGACAGGGGGAGATGGGAGATGAGAGTGGGGCAGAGAGAGAGAGGGGAGGAGATGGGTGTGGAGGGAGGAAGGAGAGGTGGGCCCTGCAGGCACTCACATGGGGGTACAGTGGGAAGTGGAGGTTCCTCCTGAGTTGCTGGACGGAACTGCCACACCAGTCTTCAAACACATGCAGGTTGACGTGGCCCCGGAACTGTACGGGGCAGAGAAGAAAGTGGGTGAATGCGAGCACCCCAAACCTACCCCTGCAGTCCTGCGGCTTAAGGTGGCCACTGCAGCCCCGGCCTGAAGTGTTCCTCTCGCTGTTGAAGGTCATGATCCCTTTCAGTCCCATTCCCATCCTTGGCATCCACGGCTTCTTTCGGGAACCTCATCCCCATGGCCTGGCCCTGAGGCCTGGGTCTGTTTTTCTGGGCATGCGTGTGTGCACGCGCTCTCGCATGCACGTGCGCGCGCGCGCGCGCACACACACACACACACACACACTCTCCCAGCTCTTTCCATGCAGGAAGGGGGCTGGTTTGCATTCCCCAAGCAAGAAGGAGTAATAGGCATGACAGAATGGCAGAGATGACAGAGGGAGCTGGAAGGAGGCGCCAAGCTGGGGTTTCAGCTAAAGACTTGCTCCCCGCCCCTCCCCTCCCCCTAATGCCTAATAAGAGTAAAGTTCCAGAGCTGTCTGCTGGTGAAACCTTATCTACCCAGTGGTCTTCACGCTTCTGGCTCCCCTTGTGGGGAAGCAGCTGGGAAAGCACTGCAGGGGGTCTGGGCCCGTCCAGAAGGCCTCTGCCTGCTCTCTCAGGGAACCAGAGCCACCCCGCCCAGCCTCTCCTGGGACAACCACCCAGGTGCCTGGGGCTTCGGGGCAGCTCTGGCAAGGTAGGAGCAGAGAATGTATCCTCTTTCTCCTCCTTGGCTGTGGTACTGGTGGAGCGCAGGACTGAGCTTGGAGGCCTGAAGCAGAGAGCCCCCTTCAGAAGGAAGGGGAGCCAGTACTCTGGGTGGGTGGAAGGGGGGAGTTTGAGAGGGGACGGGAAGCATGGGGATATTGTCCCAATGTATCCTGACAGAGTTTCAGCTTACCCCACCTCAGCTCTTTTCTCCTCCTCCCCTAGAGCTTAATCTCCAGGTTGTGGGAGGTGAAGCCTCAAGTACTCTATACAAACAGGCCCTGCCCTGCCCTTCCCTCCCCACTGTGGCCCATCAGATATCAAAATCCGAGCTGCTCTTAGGAAAACAGAGGAAGGGACACCCCGACTGGAAGCCCAGATGGAAGAAAGTGGTGCAAGGTCTTTAGCAGGAGATCTGGAGGGAGGGATGGTGAGGGGAGAGAAGACGGGAGGTGGGGGGAGAACTCCTCAGCAGGAATGCCCAAGATCTGAGGTGTGGCTGGTTGGGTGGGCACAAGTCCCCAGCGTGGGGGAAACACTACCCCAAAGCTGGATCCAGAAAAGACATAGGAGAGCCTGTCCCTCTGCAACTTGGCACTTCCTGTGCGTGCTGGCTGGGTCAATGCTAGGAATGTGGGACCTTGGGAAGCAGCCATCACTCCCGGGAATATGAGTGGGGGGCTGGGATGAATGGGAGAGAGAATGTGGGCTGGGTAGGTGGGGTCGGGTTAAGGCTTCTTGGAAGGAAAGAATGGGGACATTGTGCTACTTCTGGGGAAATTCCTTAAGTCCACTTTGCAAGACTCAGTTGTCTCCTCCAAAAGGCCTCCTCTCTGCCCCTCCCTGGGAGTCTTTCAGGGCAGTGTGCTCAGATCCACAGCAAACTGCGGAGGGAGGGCATGCCACCAGAGAAGTCTGTTGTGTTCAGCCAGGGGGCCAGAGGCCAGAGGCCACAGGGGGTTTGGGCAGGGAAAGGAGGGAAGGAGGAAGGAGCTGGGCTGGCACCTCTCACCTCCCTCTCCTGGCCTTGCTTGCCATAGCAATGGGAGCCTGAGATACTGCAGGAAACGCCAGGCCCAGGGAGGTGGGAGTGCAGGGAGAGGACTATCCATCTCCTCTGAGGTCTAGGCCCTTACTTGGCATTAAGCTAGCTCTCAAACCATGCTTCACCCACCCTCAGGCTGTATATGAGGGTCTCTGAGGGACCAGTGGATACCATCTTCCTCTCTAGGCCCAGACTGGCGACCCCACCACGATTTGTGTCCCTCCAAGTTTTGGACTCTTTGTTTCTGGCAGGGATGTGGGACTCCAGCTTATCAGCACCACCCTTTGCCCACTCTCTCCATTGTCCAACAGGGACTAAGGCCCAGGGAACGGCATTGGTTACTCCCATTGCCAGAGCACGTCCATGGCCAATGACAGATTTGGAACTTCCAGTTATAAGTAGTGGAGAAAAATATCTGTTGGAATCCTCTCATTTTAAAGGTGAGAATATTGAGGCCCAGAGAGGTAAAGTGACTCGCCAAGGATACACAGCAATTAATCCTGTGGAAGTGGGGAGACAGTCTGGGAGTATGGATGCAGGAGGGTGAGGCCAGCCTGGTGGGTCCTCACACAGGAACATCCACTGTCTTCCACCCCCACGACACTGTCTCTGCCAGGCCTCACCGGGCTTGCCAGGCCTGCAGCAGAGTGCCCTAACTGGATCAAAGCTTCTCCCCTCCACTGCACTTCACTCTCTGCTCCAGTGCCTGCAGAACTTTCTAAAGCACAGATCTCATTGAGTCACCCCACTGTTTCAAACCTCAGAAGGTTCCTAGAAGGCTTCAGAACCAAACCTTACCCTGGCACATGAAGTCTTATGACTGACCTACCTTCCCAGCCTCACCTCATAGCACTCCCTGTCACACACCTACTCTGCCCACGCCAAGCTGCCCGTCGCCGTCAGGCTCCTTCACCTCTCCTTGTCTTAACAAAGATTTTTTCCTGGTTGGAAGGCCCTTTCCTTTCTCCCCCACCAAGCAAACTCGGGCTCATCCTTCAAGGCTCTTCTCAAATCTTTCTCTCTGAGGCCTTCTCTGATTTCCCCCAGCAGAGTTAATAGCTCCCTCCTCTGTGTTCCCTGCACATCTTGATTATGTGAATGAACAAATGCTTGGAGAAGCTAAGTCTGAAACCATATGTTCCTTCGTTTATTCTATAAGCACTCAGTGTCTGCTTTGTATCAGTTAAAGATGAGAAGAGATGTGGTCCTCAAAGGAGAGAGACACGTAAACAAACAGGCGTCACATGTGCCAGGGGCTACTGCAGAGGTGTGAGATACAGAGGGCATGAAGGCGGGAGTGATCAGCTCTACCTTTAGGAGAGGTCAGAAGCCCATCACGGGAGGTGAGCACTCACTGACCCTCCACTGTACCAAGCTGTTGCTCAATCAGATTCACACTCGCGAGACCAGCACACCTGGCTGGGGGTTCAGCTCATGGGGCAGTGAGGCCCCAACCTGGAGGAGAAGTGCAGAAGGCTGGGCCAAGTGACCTACACAGCAGGAAAATGAAGTCACTAGTTCCTATACACCAGGTTCCTGTTCAGAGTTTCCAGATACTCGAGTTCACACCTGTCCTTCCAGGGAGCTCCCCCTTGGAATCAAGGAGCTCCAGACTCTATGAAGATAAGAGGTAGCTCTGGATTTTGAGGAAAGGGCCAGAGGCCTATTTGGTGAAATTCTAATGGAGAAAATTATCCCCATTTGAATAGATGGTTCGTAAATGAACTGAGATGCCACTTGTATCTCACTAAGGTGACCAAAGTGTACGATGATTGTGACTTGGGGCTCTGAAGAAAGGAAAGTCTGATCTACACAAAAACTTGTACACAACCTTCACAGCAGCATTATTCCTAATAGCCAAAAAGCAGAAACAACCCAAATATCCATCTATCGAGGAAGGATAAATAAAATGTGGTACATCCACACAATGGAAGATTATTCAGCAATAAAAAGATATGAAGTACTGATACGTGCTACAACATGGATGAGCCTTGAAAACATCATGCTAAGTGAAAAAAGCCAGGCACAAATGGCCACATATTGTTTGATTCCATTTACATGAAATGTCCAGAACAGGCAAATCTGGAGACAGAAAGTAGATTAGTGTTTGCCCAAGGCTGGGGGATGAGGGTAGCGAGGGCGATGGCTGCGGGTGTGGGGTTTCTTTCCGTGGTAATGAAAATGTTCTAAATTGATAGTGATGAATGCACAACTCTATGAATGTACTAAAAGCTATTGAATTGTATACTTTAAATGGATGAATTATATGGTATGTGTATTATATATCAATAAAAGTGTTATAAAGAAAAAGGGAAGTCTGAGAAGAGGAGCCTGCATCCCAGCCCTCTTCTCAGGAGAGAGATACCGCCTCACCAAAGACCCCATAACATGACCCACGAAAACTCTGACTTGCTTTGATCTGATTTTGTATTCTCCAAACTTCTTTCTTGTAACTATTTTGGTTTTCCAGAGGGAGCGTCCTGAATAGTAGACAGTGTTTTGGTCAATGGGCCCATATATTTACTGGTAAATGGATAAATTGGCATTGAGGTTTGTTAATTAGTGGGATTTGTTAATCAGTGTCTTATGATTTGGGTTGACATGAATAAGCTTTTGAGGGCAGTTACCCCATGAAGCCCAGCCCCACAGCCATCCACTCTGATGGTCTCTTTCTGACACACCAAGTAGAATGCTTAAGGCTGCTTCGCTTTCCAGAGTGACTTCTGGCCTCAGAGACCTTGAGCTGCCTGCCAAAGGCTGGGGCAGGGAGACAGTCAAAGAAGAGACCACCGCCAGCCTTCATGTATTCTGTCCCTGCTCACCTTCAGAGCAGGACCACATACTAGCTATGCCACCTTGAGTACTGAGAGAGTTAACCCCTCTCTGAGCCATTACCTGAAAACGGGGAAAACAGTACAACCTGCCAGCTCCTGCCATCTAGTAGATGTTCAGTAAGTGAGATGTGTCATTAATCTGAGCATTTCCTGCTGAAACTGTATGTCAAAAGGCAGGAGACAGGTAAGGAGATGGGAACAGACAGGTGCCCAGGATGTGCTGGAAGAGAGCTGGAGCCACTGTGCAGCTGTGTGACTGAGAACGTTAGTTACTTAACCTTTCAGGGTCTTATTTTGGTAAAGATCCTGAAGATACATGAAGATTGTAAGGAGGGTTTTGTAAGCTACTTTTAATATTGAAAAAACAAAGTCAATGGCAATTGGGCATTTACCACCAAAAGGCCATATACACTTACTGAAAGATCAACTAGTCATGAGTCACTTAACACTCTAAGATATGTTCTGAGAAATGCGTCTCGTTAGGCGATTCCATCATTGTGTGAACATCCGAGTGTACTTACACAAACCTAGATGGTATAGCCTACTACACTCCTATGCTGTATGGTACTAATCTTATGCGACCACTGTCATGTACATGGTGGGTCGTTGACCAAAACATCGTTATGCGGCACATGACCGTATTTCTTTAAAAAGTTAATCCTATTTTAATCACTATTTACTATTTGTTCACTGTTTTCATTTCATATATATGTATCTCCATCCTTCATTGGCCAAAAAAAAGCAGGGAAATTAATGATTAACACATGCAGAATATTATGTAGTTATAATCTTTCAAAATAATTGCTTCATTAAGAAAAATTATCTGAACTGTCCTCAAAGGAGAGAAGGCTGAATCACTGGACCAATGGTCTTTAAGGCAACTTCTTTTCAAAATACTATCTCCAGGTGGGCGCGGGGCATAATTACCTGATGATGTCACCTAACACAGGTGTGCCAGTGGTTTTTTGTGTTTGTGTGTGAGGAAGATTAGCCCTGAGCTAACATCCATTGCCAATCCTCCTCTTTTTGCTGAGGAAGATTGGCTCTGGGCTAACATCTGTGCCCATTTTCCTCTACTTTATATGGGATGCTGCCACAGCATGGCCTGACAAGCAGTGTGTTGGTCCGCGCCTGGGATCTGAACCTGCTAACCCTGGGCTGTCAAAGTGGAGTTCACGAACTTAACTGCTACGCCACCGGGCCGGCCCCACCAGTGTTTTTTTTTAAAAGATTCCTTTGACATTTTTTTTTTTTGGAAGATTGGCCCTGAGCTCACATCTGTTGCCAATCTTTCTCTTTTTTCCTTTTTTATCCCCAAAGCCCCAGCACATAGTTGTATATCCTAGTTGTAGGTCCTGTCTAGTTCTTCTAGGTGGGAAGCCACCTCAGCATGGTCCTTGCCCAGGATCCGAACCAGCAGACCCCGGGCCGCCAAAGCGGAGTGTGTGAACATAACTGCTACGCCACCGGGCTGGCCCCTGTGCCAGTGTTGTAATCCTCTCAGGGCTTTAAACAGAGGCAGTTTCATGGTGTAGATAATCTAACATCACATTTAGCATGATACTGCCTCCTTCACTCCTGCCCCACAGCAAATGGGTGAATTGGAAATAAAATCGCCCAGGCTAAAGAGATCAATCTGTGATCTCTTTATGGATAAAGACAATGGGCTGGCCAATACCACCCAGCCAAGAAAAGTATGTCCACAGGACTCAGGGCTAAAAGACACTGGATTGTGGACAAGCTGTAAAATACGACACACAAATTTAAAATTTTCACCCCCAAAGCACCATGTTACTACAGAGTCTTGGCATAATCCATTACTCAGGGTAATCTTGTGTGTTAATTAACCTCCCTGAGCCTCAGTTTCTTCACCAAAAGAAAAAAACTCTGTCATATCCTATAGAAATAAAAGGTGTCATGATGGTTATGACAACTTTTACTCACACGTCTAACCATGTCCTATAAAAATTTTCTAAAGCAGAGTTTCCTAGTGTATCCTCCTTAGAACACTAGTTTCATAGAATATTAATAGATGTTTCATGGAAAAAAGCAATTCAGGAGGCAAGTAAGCTTGGTACTTGCTGAGCTAAACCAAGTTAAATAGATTACTGCAGAACTTCTCAGAACCTTTCACACGCTAATGTGTACTTCCAAGAAGTGGACAGAATATACAGTTTTTAAACCTTATTTAATAGTGGACTCTTTTCTTCCTGGAATATCTTATAGGACTTGATGGCCCAAGAAAAACAATTTGGGTAGTCTGTCTTTATGACTGAGGATTCAGGGGCCGGCCCCGTGGCCTAGCAGTTAAGTGCGCGCGCTCCGCTGCTGGCGGCCCAGTTCGGATCCCGGGCACGCACTGATGCACCGCTTGTCAGGCCATGCTGTGGCGGCGTCCCATATAAAGTGGAGGAAGATGGGCACAGATGTTAGCCCAGGGCCAGTCTTCCTCAGCAAAAAGAGGGGTATTGGCACGGATGTTAGCTCAGGGCTAATCTTCTTCACACACACACACAAAAAAAACTGAGGATTCATATCGACATGAAAATCATGTAGCTCTTCTGAGTCTTCTTTTTCTCACCCATAAAATGAAGATAGCGATACTATCTTACAGGGTCATAAAGCTGATGAGATGATATGCCAAGCCTGGCACACAGTAGGCCCACAGCAAATGTTAGTTCTCCTTCTCTAAACGAAGAAAAACTGAATGAGCCTGGAACCCTTTTTTTCCAAATTAGGTGAAAATTCTTAATAATAACCACTAGAAGGAAATTTTCTGTAGTCTCTGGAATTATCTGTAAAAACTACTTTTTAACCCTCTCAAAGAAGAGGGACAATAGACAGTCCCTTACCTCTGAGAGCCAGGGGACAGGCTTATTCCACTTCAGGTAGCTGCTGTTACTGCTCCCTCCTCGCTCAAAGTCTTGGTCCTGACAGAAGAAGGGAGAAGTAAACTTGGCGGGGATATTAGGGTGAGAACAGGATTCAGGGCCCCTTGAAAGTGTCTGTGGGGAAGTAGAGGGTTGGGAGACACAGCCCTGCCCCTAGGAAGCTTATCAACTTAAGGGACACTCCCATTTATTATTTATACTCTGTCCCTCAGGAATATACCTCCTTACAGTTTCATCAATGTATACTCCTGAGGTTCTTGTACTTGCCTGAATTTTCTCAGTCTTCCCGCATGGGAAAAAAAAAAAAATCTAATTCAATCAGGCTCTCCTGAGGGCAGGGATCTTGCTTCCCTCTCCCTCTACATCCCCTCAAGGCTCTGCCTAGATTTGTCGCTCATTTGTCTTAACAAGTGGGAGCACCTTGGGGACACCCCAGCTCTTCCCAACCATGCAGGTCCACAGCTTCAGTTTGGTTCCTGTCCGTTTCTGGGGATCCATGTCTGTTCTAGGCTCAGAGACTCAATCTTCGGGCTCCAGATTGAACTGGACCCCGATTTCCTTAATCCCCACCCAGAGCTGCTCCTGTCTCCCTAGGGACTGTTGGCCCAAGAAACACTATAGGGAAAATGCTCCATGACAAATCTGTCCCCCAGCTATCTGCAGGGAGAAGTGTCTGTCTACCTCATCATTTCTGACTCTTAGCAGCGAGCATCTGGGATCATCACTTAGGCATCTGGGATTATCACTAGAGTACCAGTGCAGTCCTCATGCCAGCAAGAGGCAGGACATGGCCCCAGTGCTGTTGGAGATGGAGGCCATATGCCTGGCACGGTTCAGACAGGGGCGTCTTGAACTACGTGACAAAGGCTTTGAGGAGGGCAGGATGGATATCTCTACCTACCCAGCTAGGACATCCTGTGATGCCGGACTGCCATTCCTTTCTCCTCTGCCTCTCTCACCACAGAAAAGTGGAGGTTTCCCTTAAGACTACAAGAGCACAGGCAGCTGAGGACCCATGTTAACCCAGCAGCAGGGAAAACAGGGTGGCCCTGCCACATACCTTGAGGCCCAGCCTCTGGGGATGGTAGAACTGGAGATTTGGATCCACAGCTGGAATGTTCCTACTGGCCAGGGCCTTGGCCAGTTCTCTCCAGCTGCCATACCCTATGGAAGGGAAAGAGGAAGAGAGGAGCGAGTTCAACATAAGCAGAAGTCCTTATCAATCTGTAAGATTTGGGGGGACAACAGAGGCAATCATCTTCCCTTCTGCTGCTCCTCACTCCTCTTCATACGGAGGGTATGACGTGGGGGTGGTGGTGTTGGGAGATAGTTACAACCTTGGCCAAAGTCAGGAGGACAGAGAGGAAATAAGCTCATATGCCACTAGAATTCGCTGTCTTCCATGAATCAGAGAAGGAGCCAGGCGGGGTGAACATGAAGTCTTGTCCGCTCCCTGGTAACCCACAACAGCTGATTCTTCCCCAGTTGCCTCTCGAGGCTGATTTCTCCCAAAGGCCATTGTGGGAAAATGGTTGTGAAAGGCAATGGAACTAAGCTTTCCCCTGCACAATTTCCCTTTCCAGCTCAGTCCCTTTCCTCCAAGCCCAGGGAGACAGCACATTGTCTAGTTGGGGAGGCCCTCCCCTCTGCCCACCATTAATCTCTGGGTTGCTGGACAGAACTACAGCTGGGAGAGGAAGGAAAGGGTGGGCCATGAAGATGCTCCCAGAGGAGCCGGCCTGGTGGCGCAAGCAGTTAAGTGCGCGCGCTTCACTGCTGCAGCCCGGGGTTCGCCGGTTCGGATCCCAGGCGCGCACCGACGCGCTGCTTGTCAAGCCATGCTGTGGCAGTGTCCCATATAAGGTGGAGGAAGATGGGCATGGATGTTAGCCCAGGGCCGGTCTTCCTCAGCAAAAAGAGGAGGATTAGCAGATGTTAGCTCAGGGCTGATCTTCCTCACAAAAAAAAAAATAAAATTCTTTTTGTCTAAAAAAAAAGATGCTCCCAGATACTGTGGTGGGCACTGCACAAAAGAAGGTAGACTGACAGTCACTGACCAATGGGAGCTGATACTGGCAAAAAGCAGGGGTGTCATAGGAACCCCTATGTGAGCACCAGTAGAGATACAGCCAACCAGACACAGAGGAAAGAGCAAAATCCACAAACAGAGGTCTGCAGAAGGTGGACATCAACATTTTGCATGAGTGTTTATGTAATCGACTCCAAGAGGGGGATTGCAATGTGTGTGGGAATACGTTTTGTGTGGCCTTTTAGTGTTTCTAAGCATCTCACAGGCATGATCTCATTTGAGCCTTAGAAGCATCTTGTAAGATAGGCCACGTCTGATTACCCCCATTGTACAGATGGGGAAAGGGAAGCTCAGAGTTTAAAGTCACAGAGGTGATTGTTTTGAAGCCAGGATCAGAACAGAGAGCCTGTCTGTCTCAGGAGCCACCATTTTCTCCTTCTGTCTACACTTTCTCCTATGGGCACTTTTCGGCATAGACTTTGAGGAGTCCCGGGGGCAGAGGCCTCAGCTGGAGATCCGTGCCTTTGGGTTTCTGCACAGACATTAAACCTCCACTCATGTGATGTTTATAGGGCCTTCTGCAGGTTTATCCCTCTGCCATCAAGGTCTCTCCTGTTTCCATGGCTGGCCAGCTGGCAGTCAGGAACAGGTCAGACTAGTGCATCGCAGGGGGATGTTCCAGGGAAGCAGGATTCTGGAGCCAGTGAAGTGAGATGAGGCTATGGGAGAAAGGCAGAAAGAGAAAGAATGTTTCCAGACCTACACCCTACATTTCTGGATGATCTCAGAGGAAAGCTGTTTGTTCATCTGCTAATCCCAGCCCAGACACTTCTAATGTAAGAGCCCCACCCCTGCCCCTCCGAGGAGCTGCTGGCTAGTGGATGGGGGGCTCAGGTGCCTGGGTGACAAATGGGTCACATTGTGGGGAGGGGGAGGGCAGGCCCTGCCTTGCTTCTGCCTCTGAATGATCAGGTCATCTCTTCCTTGACTTTGCTCTTATGACTAAAACCCATCTACTTCTAGACAAAGTTGTAAGGATATAATAATAAAAATACTCTTTCCCCCATCACCAGGAGTTACAGTATGTCTCAGATGCATGTTCTTTCTCATAGACTAGTTTTCAGCTCCAGCCAAATTCTTTGACTCTTGGAAGTCACACCAAGGATGGGTAAGACAACTTAACTCAAGGTCAGTGAACTCTCACTGTGGGTCTTCAGTATGCCTTGTCCTGGCATTTGCTGGGAAGTGACAGACTCTCTCCTTGACCAAATTTTAGACAGGCTCCTCTGAGCTGTTTTTCAGCTAGGGCTCATCCTTAGGCCCTGTCCTAGGCCTGCCTAGCCCAGTTTTTAGAAAGAATCCTGTTAAGTCTGTTTAGCAAGAATCCCCCCATCCTTGATGTACAAGACCTTGGCCTGCCTTTAGCAAGAATCCTGTCAGGCCAGTTTAGCCCCCCACCCTTGATGTCTCCTCTTAGTAATTTTCCATCCACTGACACCCTCACTCTGTTTGTTGGCTGTAAATCCCCAGCTGTCTTTGCTGTGTTCGGAATTGAGCTCAGTTCTATACTGAAGTCTCTCTCCCATATTGCAATAGTACTGGATAAAATCTGTCTTTATCATCTTTAACTGGTGTACAGCTCTATTTCTCTTTAAAAGAAGGTAAGCGGTGGTTTTCTCAGTGAACAAGGACAAATCCACCGCGGAGAGAGGGGATCAGTGAGGTTAAACCTAACCAGGCCCTGCCCCTGGGTCACAGTTGAGTCTGGGTGGCTCTGAGATACCTGGAGACAGGATACTCAACAGCCCAGCCATTAGTAATTTAAGGAGTAGGGTATTCCCTTTGCAGACTTCACAACATAGTTGAAAGACAAGCAAGGCTTTGGATTCAGAAAGATCTAATTGTACATCTACCGCTTATAAACAGTGGCTGCTCAAATAAGTGGCCTTGGTTTGGCCACTTTGGCCTTGCCTGGTTTCTTCCTCCAGATGGTGGGATAACAACGCCTGCCCCACAAGCCTGCTGTGAGGACTGTTACGTGCGTCAGACCCGGTGTGGTGTTTGGCACACGTGTGAAGTACTCAATAGGCATTCCGTCCCCCTAACAATTTCTGAGTTTGGGGTTTTGAACTTCAAAGTCAGAAGATGTGAGTTCCGGCCCCTTTAGAATTTTGTAAACTGCCAACGGCCAGTAGTTCTTTCACTCGCTTCTCTCTGGGCTTATTGACCAGAGCAGTGAGCAGACTGTGGGCCAGCAGGGACTCAGTGGTAGCAGAACAAAAGGTAATATTTCCTGTTTCACAGCACTGCCTTCTGTTCCCAGACCCATCCCCCATCCATCCCCCACCCCTGCCCTCATTATTCACTGAGTGCATATTGCCCATCAGGCACTATGCTGGGCATTTGGTATTTCCGGTTCCCCGGCCTTTGCCTCTGTGTTAACCCTGCCAGTGGACACCCAGGCATTGCTTAGTCGCCGGGGGGAACATGGAGCTAAAGACTGTGCTGATTGGGGCCGGCTTGGTGGCACAGCGGTTAAGTGTGCGTGCTCCGCTTCGGCAGCCCGAGGGTTCGCACGTTCGGATCCTGGGTGACACCAATGCACTGCCTGTCGAGCCATGCTGTGGTGGCATCCCACATACAATAGAGGAAGATGGGCACGGATATTAGCCCTGGGCTGGTCTTCCTCGGCAAAAAGAGGAAGATTGGCATGGATGTTAGCTCAGGGCTGATCTTGCTCAAAAAAAAAAAAAAAAAAGACTGTGCTGATTTAACTATTGACACTTGTCACTTGCCCTCTGGTAAGTGAACTCCTCCTGCTCCTGGCCAGACTTCTCCTCCCTGAATGCCAGCTGCCAGGGCCTGTTTCTCCTGCAACAGGTGTCACATTTGTGCCAGGAGACAGACACCCTGATCTCAGGTGACAGATAAAGCACCACCATGGGCCTCACATTCTGCCCTCACAAAGCTGGGCTATCAAATTCACCACCAGCCAGAACTTTGCCAACATCCCTCCTCTGTGCAATGATCTACCCTCAAGGGCCTGATGATGATCATTTGGCTCTTTGGTGAAAACATGGCATACACATATTCCTTGCTGCTCTTCTTCAAAGACTCTCACATACATGATTTCACTGCACCCTCACAACCTCCCTGTAAACTGTTGTCTTCTCCATTTGGAGATGAAGAGACAGAAACAGACAGGTGAAATCATTAGCCCAAGGTAACACAGTGAATAAGATAATCTGTGTAAAGGACCTAATGCCCAGAGTGTAATAAGCACTTAACACATTGCAGCTTATTATTTATTACTCATCACAACATTGCAGATCTGAAACTTGCATTCATTTCTCTTGACCTCTGGTCTGATTCTCTTGCTGATACGTCATGTGGTCAGCAGGGATATTCACACCAGGGAGAAAGGACATCCCTCGCTGCTCAGGCAGATTTAGGATAGATTTTAAAGGTATAGCGGACAGGCCTTGCTGATGGATTGGATATGGGGAGAGGAATCAAGAATAACTTCAAGATGTCTGACCTGGGCAGCTGGAAGGCTAGAGTTGCCATTCACTAAGATGGGGAGGATGCAGTGTCAACAGGAGAGGTGGAGCTGAAAGTGGTGCCTGAGAGAGAAGTGGAAGCATGGAGGGTGGGGCTGGGGAACATCCAACAGGCAGATGCAATGGAAATGGCATTTCTGAAGCTTTATCTCCAGCCTTGGGGCAGGGCTCCACTGGAAAGGGCTAGCACCTTCCCTGAGCCAAAACACACTTACAAGAGAAGGACTGACCCCTCCAGGGCCCTAGAAAAGTGGGGTTGAAGGAGAGTCTCGGAGGGCTGGTCCCATAGCTCCACCAGATGTAAAGCAAAGATCCAGGGCCGGCCCCGTGGCTTAGCGGTTAAGTGCGCACGCTCCGCTACTGGCAGCCCGGGTTCGGATCCTGGGCACGCACGGACACACCGCTTCTCCGGCCATGCTGAGGCCACGTCCCACATACAGCAACTAGAAGGATATGCAGCTAAGACATACAACTATCTACTGGGGCTTTGGGGAAAAAAATAATAATAATAATACTTAAAAAAAAAAACAAAAAACAAAGATCCAGGGTGAATTAGACGATTTGCTAAGAAGCCTCGCATCTGTACAGAGGAAAGGTGATGAAATCCAGAGGAGCCGAACAGAGACACAGCCTACGTCCCACCAGAGACCAGGAGGTTGTCCAGGGAACGGGAGGTTGTGACATCCAGGGCATGGTTCCAT